GCTGGACGGACTTCCGGGACTGGAAAGGCCACTGGGACACTCGGCTCTGAGTCCGGAGTTTAGGGGATGTTTGTCGCGGGAAGTTCGGTAAAAGTGCGACGATCGTGACGTTCGACACGGGACGCTCGGACCTGTTCTTCAGGGGTGCGACGAGGACGTTTCTGTGCGCGGGAATATAACACAAACACAATCTTTGACTCGTGAAGGATCAGGCTGATGTAAATTGTTGATAAGTGTTCGTGTGGGATTCGATTAGTTTCCTCGGGTTATGTAGCAGACGTTGGATGTTTTCCTTGGAGTGATCATGTGGATCGATAAACTCGGCTGACGTTCCGGGGAATAGGGATTTCGAGTTGTGCGTGGGAAATCGGAGAGTGTTACTGTGCGGACGCACCGCTGTTGCCGTTTGTTCGACGCGACCTTCTGCGAGGGATAGGTGTCCCGCTGTCGGTGGCCAAGGTGGAAGTTGAGGACTTCCGGCACGGTTTTCTTTCGAGGATTTCGCCGAACGAGATGCGGAGATCGGTGCTCCGGTTCTCTGGGCTACTTAAACGGATTTAGGTGAGTCCAATTTGAAGTTGTATTACAGGGACACCGCTGGCCGGGGTAACTAATGCCCGCGGAAGTTGCTCGGCCGATATTTGGCCCGCGGGGAGGACTGCGTTATTGCTGGTTCTGCTGGGTGTTCCCTTGACAAAGCGGCCAAGTTTATGTTTCCTTCGCGTTTACCGGCGCTACGCTGAGTTATTGGATGCTCGGTGAACTTTCGGGTTGATCTTCGATTCGTTGCTTTCTTGGGCCGTTAATAATTTTCTGCGTCTCGAACTGCCACTTCGGGGATGTATTTCATCCCCGTCTCTTCTGGTCCTTGTAATTTCGTTTGCGACGAAGTGAAGCAATTGTAAAAGGGTAGTACTGTGAAGCACACTGCAGAAGTAGTTCAGTTTGAAAGGTCTTTGAGAATTAAGTTCCACGAGATAAGGGATGAATGAGGGTTAGCGAGTCGATGAATAGAAAGTTCTATGTTCATTTTACATACTCACGAAGATATTAAATACCAAGTGCATCTATTTTCGATGAAAGATTACAATACCTAATCACCAGTTAGTTTACAAATGCAAAATGCAACCGAATAAATTAACCAGCTTATCCATTCCACACGAACGCTTCGAAGTTACATACAATCCGGTCGATGCACATAAAATCAACCCTCCGATTCTGCTAGCCGTTAGCAAAATATTGAATACTAAATCGTGCGCGCATTACATCAGACACGATTATAATTGAGTAAACGTTTGTACTACACAGTTGGAGTGCCTCCTCCTCTTCGCATCCGCGAAACACCCGTGATATTCTCTAGTTACATCGTTACCCCTTTTGCGGCAAAACATTCGCCATTCGGGATAGCTTACAAATAGCCCGTAATGGGTCTCGAGCGTCGCAATTGCACCGTGCCCGGCATATGCATCCCCTAATGCGGCCCGCAATAGCGACGCGCCGCTCCTTTGTTCCGTAATAGCGACTCTTATAAAACAGCGTTTTATAAGAGTTCCATTATCGGTTATTGAGCGGAATACTCATGTCGTTATCTTACGGGACCTCCTCGAGAACGGTCGGATGTTTTTTCACGGCCCGTTACCGGCAATGTTTAATTCTTAGCACGTCGACTGCCACCGGTGACCGGCGTTTTCGAATTGCTCGGAAGCAATTGCAATAAGAACATTTGTATCGAATGAAAATGCTTCGTAACTCGAGTAACTAAATAACGTAGATTATTTTAATGTAAGAACTACGGTACCAGATGGTTGATAATCGTTTCTACAACCACTTATCTTTGTTACGAGAGAATAAGTGCAATAATTAGTGGCTTAGAATAATAATGATCTATCTCTCGAGAAAAAGCTTAAGGTTCTTGTATTAATGGAATATTATAATGTTAGTACCAGTATTACTTGTTAATATTAGTAATATTAGTATTGAATTATCCTAAAAACATTTCACCAAAGATTCCTCGAGAATTCAGAGATATGAGTGAGATCACTTATTCCAAGACACTCGTAAGTAAAACGCTGAAAATTTCTATGGCGGTCGACATGTCAACGAGAGGTCAAGCCGGCGATGAAGATTAAGGATAAAGGAACGCGAGAAACACAAGATCGAGCGAGAGGAACGTTATTCCGCTAATGGAAAGTCGGATCCACAAATCGGCGATACAGTCCGTCGCATTCATTTCTTTGTGTTTTAAGATCGTTCCTGGGGCTTTCCAATCCGGGTCAACTAGCGCGTCCAGATTCGATCGATATCGAGCGAGGCCTGCCCACGGAAAATTGAAATCTTTACCGATAGACACGCCAACGGAAACGATAACGGGTCGCGGGACTATCCTTGTTTCCGGCGAGCCGGCCGTTCCTCGGCGCTCACTCGTTCGAATATTTTTTAAATTCTGATTCGAGCCTCGATTTCCGGCCGGCTAGCTCCTTTCTCGGAGCCAGACAGCTGTGGATTGCGAGACTATTTTTGTTTATTAAATAGTATACCGGAAAGAGGAATTTAAAAGGAAAATGTAATAATTTATAAAATCGTCGGATTACGAATGACCACTTGTAGTTAGCGATTCCTGTAAATCAACGCACGGTTATTGTTTAGCATAAACGCAGATTATTTGTCGGAATTTTATCGATACATATCGTCCCGGTAATAATTCAGTTGAACGATTTCCATTCCCCCTTATAATCCACACGATTTATTCCCGTCAATGCGGCAAGCACGGTAACAAATGAATCGAATACCGAACGATTAATGAAAACAATCTGTACGTTCGCCGGATGCGATCTTTATTCCGAGCAAAAGATTCGCTGCGTTCATCAGTCAGCGGCGAAGACGCGAATCGCTTGAATCGTATCGCGATCTCCTCGATCAAAGGCACCGGTCCACAGACATCTTTACAGGTCAGAGTTCGTGTTTCTTATCGGATGAAAACTAATTCCTCAGTTTCGCTGAACAGTATCGAAACTACACGTAAAGAACGATTTATTATTTACCCCTTCGCTGCCCTTTGAAGAGATTAATATCGGTAGCTGGACGGGTAGAAGAGAAAACAAGGCTCGAGCATCGCGAGAGCGAGCTTTTCATTCGCAGTGAATGCCGGAGACCGGAATACGTTCGTTCGTTGCGCGCGTGTTTCCCTTTCGCCGATGATCTGTTCTCCTTTCTTTTTGTTCTCGATTCTTGCGGCAGCGTGGAGCGACTATCGAAGAGCTTGACCCTATAGGAATGATACTGAATTCCTAGATACTTATACTGGACATGTAGTGTTACGAATGATATAGTAATTTATAATAATTGACACCGTAAAGAAAGAAACCACCGTAAACAAAAATAACAGTTAAGCCTTTGCACTCCGAGAATTTTTAATATCATCTTCCAACAACTCTAAGTTACTTTTGCTATAAGCTACCAGCTTACAATATTATAAACGAGCCTCCGAAAGATTGAAGACACTGCTTGGTTATTGAGAAGCACGTATACATTTGAAAGTTAGCGAAGAGTTAACCCTTAGCACTCCACATACTTTTGTGGTACGTCAGCAACGCCTACCAATTTTGATAGTAGTCCTACTGAATATTACCAATGTTATAACACTTCTTAGACCTTTAATTCCCTCCTCAGTACAAACTTCGTATATTTGGAAGATCTAACAATCTTAAGGTAGTTTTCTTAGGATTCATTAAAATATTTAATATTAGAACTGGTGCAATAGTGGAGCCTACAGAGTTCCAAGGGTTAAACAATAAGAAAAGCAGAAATAAAGATAGCCTCGATCGGTGGGAACGATATCCATCGAAGTTGCCAGAGGTTCCCGAAAGGTTAATTAGCGGGTCGAAAGTGTACGTCAAAGGGGCGAGTGGTTTTTCTGTTTGCGCGCGTGTTGCCGATAAATCGAGTCCACCGGGCTAAAAGCCTCTCGACCCTTTTCACCGGCGGCACGCGGGGGAGGCAAAACAACCCAGCCGCCGGTGTCCCGTGGAAAACTCCGCCGGTGAGAAGAAACACTTGGCCGAAAGTAAATGCTTTTTCCGGATTCGGATGTCAGCGTTCGCGCTGACGGTGCTGTGCGGGGGCGGGCGCGGGAGCACACGCAGCTGGCCGGGGAGTTATCGTGCGCGACCGCAGAGAGCCGTGCGGTCGACGGCGTCGCTCGCAAACACCGTGTTGACGCTTTGCGGTCCGATTTAAGGGATGTAACGCGAATCAATGGATCCGTGAAATTCGCGCGACGCTTCCTCCCACTTCTGCGCACGTGGGAAACCGGATCGAACGGGTTCGTTACGCGAACTGTTTAACCGTTTGCGGATCAAGATTGTTTAGAGCATTCGGAACCTGCAGATTCTGCTGAATTAGATGGTGAACGGTTAACCCTTTGTAGATGGAGATTGTTTAGAGTGTACGAAAGCTGAAGATTCTGCTGAATTAGATATAATGGTTAACCCTTTGTAGATGAAGATTGTTTAGAATATTCGAAATTTTCTGCAGATTCTGCTGAATTAGATAGTGAATGATTAACCCTTCGTAGATGAAGATGATATATTTGAGAATTCTGGTTATCTGAAGATTGCCTGGGAAGTATGTTGGAAGGGTTAGGAAGATGTATTATCGAATTCCACGCTGAAGAAGATTGTGTACTCTAGTTTCGAGTATTGATTGTTGCAGAAATAGAATGAAAGTGTAGGGTACACAGGACGCGGGAAATTGAAGTATAAAATGTCAATGTGCAGCGAATAAAGTTTGTAGATCAATTTCATGAGAATATTGGTTTCAATTTCGAAGTATCTTTTACTCGATCATGCTGATATCGGTATCGAAGTTTGAGGAATAACAGAATATACTTTGCGAATGATATTGCTTTCGAAATTTCTTGCGCATAAGTTTTATAGTTCGTGAACAACGAGAACAAGGGAGGTTTAAGAAGTGAAACGGTGAAGCAGAAAGTCTGCTTAGATTCGAGAAGCATTTACGAATTATGTGCTGTTGATCTTATCATTATTTTCTTAGTTGTTTCTTGCAAACAGAATTAAAGTAATTTTTAATCTGTAATAAACTTCATTTTCATTTTTATATCTATAATATCTATATCTATAATATCTATATCTATAATATCTATAATACAATTTATTCCTATTCCTTCCACTTTAACTGTTATCCATTTATATTGTACGAGGTAAAACTAACCAACAACCGGAACCGCCTCCGTTCCCAAAAAATTGAGTCGCTGAAGAGGTTAACATGTTGCGCGCCCGTCGATTGACGAAGTCCCTCGCGTTTTTCCAAATCCTGCAGATGCGAAAGAACGATCAGCCGAACCGGTCCATACGTGTTTTCCAATCCGGTATTGGTCGATTCATCTCAATTCCGATTTTCCTGCTGCAGTAGAACGAAACGCGCGTCCATCGATCGCGTAGAATTTCTCAGTCACCGGTACCCACGGCACCGTCCGCCATCGTTGCGCCACCGGTTTGCCCGTGGTATCCGGTGATGCGTGGATTTCACGCAGACAAAGACAC